ATTGGTCAATTTCTCCCTGCTAGTGGATCACTCCTGTGGATATATAAATATGCCTTCACAGCACCAATCTCTTTTTTAAAAACCCTGATGCTTATGTCCTCCCCCACCGCCACCACTCACAGCAAAACTCTTCGAGTGCTGCCCACATTTGGGGTGCCACTTCCTCCTCTCACATCTGCTCCACAGCCACCCAGGAAGCTCCTGCCACAGCGCGCTCTTCTGAAAGTTCCCGTTGGTGTCGCTGCGGACTTTCTTAAAACTAAAAATCATCTACTTAATGCATCATTTCTATCTTAAATTCACAAAAATGAAGGCCTTAAACATTATGTGGAGGCTGAGAACCGCGAATTCTGATTTGAAAATCAAGGTCTACGGTCGCCAATATTTGGCTGGAGGTGAGCTTGCAGATCTACAATCGTTATTTTCAGTGGGCCTGGACCAATGATGGCAGGTCCTCTACAGAAAAATGTAATGAGTGTCAAATAACCAATTTGCAAAATTTGGAATATAACCCATTAGTATCCCAAATTCAATACACTGCAATGTTAAAATTTCAGAATAATTCATCATTTATATTTCAAGCCAATGTCCAGCTCATTGTGTATTTGGCAATCCAGTCATCAAATATTTATTGAGCACCTACTATGTGCAGGCACTATACTAGGCACTTGGGTACAGAAAGGTAAGCAAAATGGACATATGTTACCGGGTTTCTAATCTAATTTAGACGATAAACCAATAAGCACAAAATTAACATATAACTACAACCTGTGACAACTGATATGAAGGACAAGGTTGAAAGAGACTCCTAAAATGACAGTAGGCTTTTCTAAGAAAGAGATGTTTCAGTGAGAAGTGAAGAATAAGTGGGCATTAACCTTGTGAGGGGGAAAGGACATTCCTGGCAAAAAGCATGTCCCAAAGCTCTGGAGTAGAAAAAGACCCTTCAGGAAATGGAAGGAAAGCCGATGAGCAAGGGGGTCAGAGCCTGAGGCGACCGTGGGCGAGACGGCTACGCAGAGCCCGCGGAGCCCTGCGCGACGGGCCAGGAGACCGAGGCTATGCGATCGCCACTGAGCCAGTTTGTCAGATTTAACAGCCGATTCTCCTCCAGTCCTTCTCCACTTCCAGGCAGCGTGTGGGATGGCCGACTGCTCCCTGACTGGGCTTCCGTCGACCCACGCACCTGGCCCTTCTCCGGCCACCCAGCCCCCTCTTTCCAAGTCTCCTTTGCTGGCCCCTCCTCCAGCAGGAGAAAAGGGCTCTCACAGCTGGCGGGGCCTACAACCAGGTCTCAACCTCCTCACTACCCATACTCGAGCAGATCTTGACTTTGCATCCCAAGAGAGCAAACCATATCATATATTTTTTTTTATCCTTCGCACCTTTTCCTGCAACAATCTGGCAGAACGAATTTCAGTGGTGGAAAAGAAAAAAGGAAGTAACATGTTATCAATGTTAGAAAGTTCTGCAGCCTCACTTAAAAGGTTGACACTCATTAGTGTTGTTTACAGCAGCCACCTAATTGGGCTCCTAAATACTCAGTTCTACTATCTGAACAGTGGAAAAAATACAACTTAAAATAACAATAATATTAACTCTCCAACAGGAATCAGAACTACAGAAATCAGCAAAATAGTCCCTAGCGTTTCCAGTCTGGCCGGAGGCACACGAGCATCCTGGGAGGCGGACGGCAGGGAGCACAGAAGTACGAACTTGCCTCCTTGTTTTAACATTTAAAACAACGCCACTTAAGATAACGTCACTACAAGTGTCATTTAGTTGTGTAGTAGGACAGATTTATCATCCCTACAGCACACACACACAGTGCATTACACACCTGGGTGTATTGTGAGGTCAGTCTGACCACATGCACGTGATGAAAGGTGACATTTATGAGCTGAAATGGCCTATTTACTAACCCACATGGCCCATACGGCCCCAACTCAGCATCCGCCACTCAGCCGATCGTGACCTTAAAAGTGGTATGTGGCCTTGAGGGATTCATTTCTACATGTCACAATGCATACAAAACTGGGCTACAATCTGCCCATTTATACAGATTTTACATAAATGCAAGCATCTTGCATGTGAAATTAACCACCAGTTAGGGTCATTTTTAAAGAAAAAAATACATCAATTTTCAATGCATCTAAAGGAGCAGCTTTTAACTTCTTCACAAATAAAAATGATAAACATCTAATTACTAAAAAATAGCATCCATAGAAAATAATGGATCTTAGTGGGCACAAGATCAAGTGAGCACGTCAGGCTCCACATACACATTCTGATGAGTGGGCTCAGGTGGCACCCACAAATCTGCATTTTTAATCACTGGCCCAGTGCTGTGGCGACGTGCGCTTCACAGGAAATCTTATTCTAGTTCACTCAGGAAGTGAAAAACATCGATTACCTACCATATTAACAATTCATTTCTTAGAACCTTTTAATAATTGATAATTTCTGAACCTAATATTTCTCATAAGAGTCCAAATACTATTTTCTTCTCTAATATACTCCTTGCTCTCACATTATATGGTTTTTGCAAACCTGACTTAGTGGAATCCTAAGTACTGTCTCCCTCTGCTCAATAAGAACTAAAACGATATGCTGGACAATCAAATGTAGCTTCTAACAATGCAAACAGTCTATAGCTAATAGTCACAACTTCAAGAGGTGCCAGAGAAACTGGCCCCTGATGAAATCATGCAAGCCATGATTCCAGTATAGCATCCTCCAGAAATAAGTCCATGTCTGCCTGCTGACTTCCCTGAGAATGGGAAAATATTTAGATTAACATGGATATATACAGACTCCCTCTGTTATGGCATTATAAACTCAAGGCTATCCCATAATACTTTCTTCACATTTATATTTAAATGCTCTGACTAAAGAAGATAGAATGTTTTAGCATTTTGCTGAGTGTAAATTTTTATTTTGGAAGAAAATCAAGAACAAAATGAGAAAAACTAGGAAGCCAGAGAATCAGAAAGACTATTATTGTCATAGTCTTATTAAGTCTGGCAAAAAAAAAAAAAAGGCTATTTAAATTTCTAAAACATCACAATTTATCCTGGAAAAGAGCAGTACAAAATATTATAATAAGAAATGCTAATCTTTATCAGGTGTCTCACATACGCCAACCACAAGGCCCTACAAATACCCCTCCGTTTATTCCTCAAACTCTGAGACAGGTACTCACTCATCCCCAATGTATGAAGGTCAGGGCCCAGACCCATCAACTGGGGAGCTCCACTGCCCAGGGTCCTCCATAATCCCACTCTTCACTTTTTTGTTTGCTAAATTAGAAACGCAAACCCAGCATCTGCTAAGATGATTAAATATAGTCTAGGATACTCGAATTGGTTCTAACTATTAAAAGCAAAGTTTTTAACAGTATAGAAATTATAGCATATATCTAAGAATGCAATGATAAAATTATTTGCTCTATACTTATTAAAACTTAAAAAGAGATTCAAGTAAGTTTAAACCTTTTTACTTTGATATAATATAAATCCAGTTCCTAAATATTTGATATATCATATACATTAAAAGCATTAGTAAAAAAACTATCCTCTTATAATAGGACTGATTCACATTACTAACTTAACTCAATGTTAAGGGAAAGCTAGGTACATCGATAGAACTATTTCTGATCCCTGGTTCAGGAAAAAGGCAGAGACTGAAGTCTTAGCTATGATTTACCCCTATGCTGGAAGCACAGACAGCAAATGTGCACATATCAATAAATCTTTATAAATTTAATGAAGTCACATAGAACATATTACTGTCTAATAAAGAACTGGTTGATTATTGTGAAATCATAATTCATTCCAAGAACAAGCTATAATTATCTGTCCCCCAAATCAATCAAAGTTACTTAAATGTTACATGGTAAATTTGTGCAATTCATTCATTCTAAAATACTCCACATACCTACAACTTATAATTTCTCCATGTCATCTAACAGCTCACATTTCTCACTCACTAAAGCTAATTTAAGACATTTTGCCCTATGCCATGAACACTGACCAACCAGCAATAAACATTTATGTAAATTACATATTAATTGTGTTTTAAGGCCTGTTATGTGCAAGGCTACAGGCTAGCACAGTCTGTCTCCTGCAGATCATAGCTCTAAACTCCAATTTTCTTTTCAGAACCAATAAAGATAAGACCAACTGAGGCACCTGGAGTATATAAAAAATGATAAACCTAAAATCCAAGTGTAACAGCTACCTATCAATGAAACGGACAAATGACAGCACTCCTGCATTTACCCACTTACCTGGTTATAGTATATCTTCCTGCCCAAAGGTACTCAAAGCTTTAAAATTGATTCTTTCATTTATCAGTGAACTGGTATTAGAATTCATATATAATGGAAACTCTTTAAAAGCCACATGAGAATACCAGTCCACTTTAGGAATGAGCATTAGGAAATCAAGAGTGGCCTGTCTGCACTAATGCTGAATTATGTTTAGTTGATCCCATTTCTCATGTTCCCAAGGAGTCAACCACACAGACAGCCACCATATATCCTTCAGCAATTCTAAGCAGAGGAAAAAGACACTTCTAAATACTGCTGACTCAAAAATTCATAGCTCAAATACAGCACAAGAAAAGATAATCAAGTAGGTGTCAAGCAATGTTTTTGCTATTTAGATCATTAACACAGTATCCATCTTTGGTTATGTAGCAATATAGAAATTCAATAGAATTTGAGAACAATTCTGAAAGCCTTCTGGACAGACCTAAAGTAAACTAGAAGGGGAACATGGAAAAATAGGAACAAATGTCTACATTTAAAATGAATGACTATTTCGATGTAATTTCTTGCTAATATAGGAATGATTCCTGATACCTTTTGCCAGAAAAGACCGAACCTTTTCTTCACATTCAATTTGTTTTTTTAAAACACTAGTTCTGCACATAGTAATAAAAAGAAATTTCAGCAAAAAGAAAGTCTATCAAAATAACTAAGAGAATATGAAACAGAGTAAGAAAAAATAAAATTTACTATTTATTTCTTTGTTATACAAAGAAAATTAAAAGTGGTTCAAGACATCTTAGCCCATCTCCTATGTCTTTTCTGACATAATGAGAACATATGAAACAATGGCAAGCTAGATTACGAGTCTAACTCAGGGTCAAGTTTTTCCACCTTAATGACTATCTCTGGAGCTAAAGCAGCACCAGCTGGTTGGTTCTCCGCCTCTGACTCGGACAACACCTCTTCCTTTATTTTTACAGGCTTATTACTGCCCTCCTCCTCTTCATCTGAAGACTCGTCCAGCTCCCATTCATCATCTATGTCCATTTCAAATACTCTCACATGACGGAGATTTGAGCTTAACTAAAGAAAAGACAAATAAAAGATTTTTAAATTAATGGCTTAACTTATATATCATAAATAAGGATTAGAAATCAGAAGTTAGAATAAAGAACGGTTTTATAGAAAAATTATTTTCCCATCAATTTACAACAAAATCACTACACTCGGCTTTCATTTTGCATGAAAGGCTCTCCACATACAACAGTAACAATATCATACTTAAAATCGAGAACTGTTAATAAAGGCTTAGTAACCTTTCTCGGAACAAGAGAATTAAATAGGTAGGGTGACTAACAAGCTCATAACCAATAAAAGCGACATATCACAAAATGTTTGCACTGAAAGGACCTTGTAGATCCAAAGTCACTTCCCTGTTACTCTTAATCCGTAAACAATTTGTAAATACTTACCACACAGGACACTTTTCGAAAGCCATTCCCAGCAACATACTGTGCTTTCATACTTTCCAGTAATCTCCAATGCTTCTCGAAATGCATGGTACGTGTGGGAATAGCAGCACACTGCTCATCCAGCCTAGAGAGGGTAAAACAACCCACAAGTGTAAAGGGGATCGCTTCCCTGGTTTACCAGGGGTGGTATCAGGGTCAACCATGGGTTTGATTCCAACAATATTCCCATTTCCGTTATAATTCTACCGGCCATGGTATAAAAAAGCTGGATATTGTATTCTACAAAAATACTGCAATTCCGAATAGGCAGAATATCATCTTAATAAGGTTTTTGATTCCCTTTCAAGGAAAACAAATGGACACATTTTTAAATTCAAAAAAAAATTTGCTTACTTAAATCTCAGTCAACTAAAGCCATCTCTTGGAAATGGCCATGTACCCTCCACATGGCTACTAAGGTCCTAATTCTGGAAGGAAAACACTAAAGGCAATTAAAATAATTAATTCTACGATAAACTGGGGTTAATGCTACTCCTGAAAAAAATTAACGTAATTCGCACTCCTTCCTCCAAATAATTCCCAACTCTGTTCTAGCAAATAATTCTTGATTTACTAGTAAAGCAAAGGGACCAAAGAGCTATTGAAGACAGCATTATTTTAATGAAAAAATGAGTATTTCTGCTGCTGACTTTATGATTATCCCTATTAATCATTATTTAGCATACCTAAAGAACTAGAATATACAATATACATTAAAAAACATTTATCTGTGATGGCAGAATGTCGATCTTACTAATGAGTTAGTTACCTTGTCGAGTAAGTCCCAGTGAACTGATAATCTGCAGAATCTTCACAGTTATATACTAAAGACAATGGCAGCTGGACCAATAGTCTATCTCTTCCTTCACGTCCTACAGTGTCTTTAAGAACTACCGTTACAGTTTCATCATCATAAAACTGTGCATCTAAGCAACTGTAGGTGCTAGAATAGAAATGTTTTGTTATATCAAAGATGACTGTTATTGAGAAAACATTGTAAGCATAACATTATACTTGTTACCAAGTAGAAAACTTTATAATAAAAAATCAAGTGACATTCTACTCAATAACATTTAAAATATATCCTTAGTTTGCACTAAAATCAGTTACCTGTTGTACTGACTATTCACAAATATCACTAAGCCCTAAGAATAGGTTATCATAAAAAAAAGAGAAATCTGTGAGGCTGGTTCAGTTTCAGAACACTCATGACATCAAGTCAGGCCTTAAAGCCCATGGAGATTCCATGTATATGTATTTTGAGTTAACCAGACTGAAAAGTAAAAATAAGATTTACATATGAAGACATAACAGCTTCAAAGACCTTATCATAAAATACTCTTAAGCAAAGAAAAAGAGTGAGAAAAAGATGAGCCTGTGGTTAGTCAGTTCTTTTCTCTGCAAAGCCTCAGAGCTGACTTCGGTACTGTTTCCCTTTTCTACCCTAAGACAATCCCACCACACTAAGAATAATACCACCTGACATTTCTGTTGGTCGTACCAAGAACCTCAGTCATCTGCCTCTGAAACCACATTCCTTTCTTTTTAACAGACAGGGAGCTCGGAAGTATTAATAATAGAAGATCG